GAAGGAAGGGAAGAGAGCAAAGAAGAAACCCTCAGAATCTAATACCGCCAAAATGTTGCTTCGCAGAGCAGGAGGCCCGGGGAGATTCAAGCGGCCGGGAGAAAAACGTGGTATGAGATTAACTGCAGTTCTTACTTCCGTCCGGGCTTTAAATACACGCCGCACGCGCTCTTCACGAACTTGTTCAGGATGCGAAAAAACACCTGCGTTGGCCGGGAATCGAACCCGGGTCAACTGCTTGGAAGGCAGCTATGCTCACCACTATACCACCAACGCATCTGCGAGTTCTCCTTTAAAATTCTTGTATTTACTCTGATTCCGAGACATACGGCGCCTTTTCTTAGAAGACTACGTAGTCTACGATCCTGTAAATTGACCTTCCCCAGCTAAAACCCGGGTCCAGGAGGCAGAGACCACCGGCGCCAGAAGCCGGAGGGCGAGCCCAGAACACCCGCCGGAAAGCCAACACCTCGCTCTACCCGAGGATTTTTCTCTCGTCTGCGGTCCCAGCGCCTCCGCTTGGCGCGCTCCGGCTCTGCATCCACCGTGTGTCGGATTCGGCAGCTGCAATTTGGGGCGCAGGGTCCGAGGCTAACTGGCTGGCAAAGGGTCCCCCCGGGAGTGGCTCGGCCCCTCTAGAGATGGAGTGAGAGGAGCGCTCGAAGGGGCGCCGGGGAAAATGGATCTTTACAGTTTAGTATAGCGAAGAAGCAGGAAATAGAGAAGAGTCAGAAGACAGTTTTATTTTCGCTGCCTTGCGAGGGGTACCAGCGAGTCATTTTATTTAAAACAATACAGTGTTGATTAACACATCACACAGCATTTTATGATAACGCTAAAGGGAATAAGGACCACGCTTTTTCTCCGGGTGTCAGGATGGCCGAGCGGTCTAAGGCGCTGCGTTCAGGTCGCAGTCTCCTCTGGAGGCGTGGGTTCGAATCCCACTCCTGACAACTACTTCCCGCTAACGTTTTTCTATTTCTTACGTTTTAAATCAAGAAGTTAGGTTTGAAATGGTTTTATCCTACCAATCCACGTATGTAGATTGCTTCACTGTGAATATGGATTGGAATGTACTTTTTTCTGTGTTACAGTCTGGCCTATGAAATTAGGAAGCAATTGAGACTAAGATGTATACTTTTTTCTGTGTTACAGTCTGGCCTATGAAATTAGGAAGCAATTGAGACTAAGATGTATCCCTAACAATGAAAAAAATTTTTTTCCTTTACACTCAGCTTCTCAGTGTCTGTTTATCCATTCCTTTATTCGACAACAATGTATTGAGCGCTTGTGCCAAGTTAACTAGGCAGATACCAAATATTCCTCTGACTCAACAGGAAAAGCCTTAGATACACATCACTTAATTTCCTATAATGGGCCTGAGCCTTTAAATGTTCAGGCAGTAGTTGTCAACACTTGGTAAGCCTCACATTCCCCACTGTCTTGCCAGACTCACTCCCACCACTTATTCTAATTCAGTAGCTTGTCTGTGTCATCCGGGCAAGAAATCAATAGACCAAGTCCCGGGAAAGTAAAACTTATGGGAGGAAAGATAAACTCATGGAGGTGGTTGTTTTAAGGACTCCTTTTTTCCTGAGGATCGCAAATAAGCCACTATATGAATTGCTGATTTTCCATCACCATCTCACTCTCTGACTTTTCATATCCAACTTCACTTTTCTGAGGAGCTGGTTATGGAAAAATATTGTTCTTTTGGGAAGAAGAAAGAATTGTCAAGCAGAAGAGGTTGAATATGTGAGGTCCGTAAGTGTAAGGGATGGAAAGATCCTTAAGTCTAGTGAAAGTTTGCCAGAAAACTGCTTTCTTTGATATTTGCTGAACTATGACATTGGGAAATACATTTGACTTTTCTGAGCCTCACTTTGCTCTAGAAAAACAGAGATAGAATTGTTGTGAGGATTAAGTGAGGTAGCCAAGGAGCTTATTAGAATGCAGATCTCAGGCTGCACCTCAAGCCTACCAAATCCACGTTTTATAAGAGCCTCAGGTTATTCTTTGTATATTGAAGTTTGAGAAGCACTGGCCTAACTTAGGAGCCTTTGCACCTAGTGAAAGATTGATCTTTAACTTGGAATATCCTTTCCCTTGCTGCTTAACCAGGCCACCTTTTACTCAGTATCATTTGAGGCCTTACAATGTGTCAGACACTGTGCTTAGAACATTGGATAAAAAGTAAAATTAAAAACTATGCCCAAACTAAAGATGATGGCTTCGTAAAAGCCATGTAAAAAAAATAAAGTTGAACCTTAACCATGTGATCAAGGTTTTCACCACCAGTGACTAGTCATGTTGATATTGAGTGCCCCCTGATATAACACAATGAGATGCATGCTTCACCTTGTAGCATTTCTTCCACAAAACTTCAGTCTAATTATGAAAAAACATAAAAATGTAAACTGAGGGACGATCTACATGTATCTGACCAGTACTTTGAAATGTCAAGACCATGAAAAACAAGGAAGACTGAGAAACTGTCACAGATTGGAGGAAAGACATGATAACTAAAGGCAATGTAATATTGTAGACTGCCTTCTGGAACAGTAAAAGGGTATTAGTGGAAAAACATGAAATCCGAATACAGTCTACAGTTTTGTTAATTGTGTTGCACCAGTGTCAATTTCTTGGGTTTGGTGAGTATACTGTGGCTACTATGTAAAATCATAACATTAGGGGAAACAGGGTGAAGGATATACAGTAACTTCCTGTAGTATCTTCACTATACTTCTGTCAATCTAAAATTATTGTCAGTCTAAAATTACTGCAAAATAAAAAGGCCTTTAAGTTTAAAACCTTGAAAGCGGTTCCCTCTGAGGAGTAGGAATTGGGAGTGGGGCAAGAAACTTTTTTCATTTGAAGTCTTGTAGCGAGATTTTATTTTTTTTAAATAAAGGGCATGTATTTTCATTTGTTCTAAGGTTTTTGGGGGAGGAGCTGGGTGACATAATTGTTATTACAATAATAAAACTAAGACTATATACAACATAAAGATATTTAGGTTCCTATTATACAGGAAACAGTCACCAAAGAAATTAAACCATTAGCAAGTCATTCAAAAGCAGATTAAGCAGTCAGTTTGTGAAAACTCCTCTATAGAAAATAGATAACACACAAACGAGAGGCTCTAAAGTGTTTCCACAACTATGCATGAGAAAAATTTCCTTCTTACACTGTGTATATGCTTTGAGAGAGAGAGGGAAAGATATATGTTGTTTAAATGCTGAGAAACTACCTAAACCATGTGAGTATCATCATTCCTCTTGAGAAGTACAAACAGGTTGGGGTGGTCAATACTGGGATTTGGGAGGGAATTCAGGAAAGGGAAAGTGTAATATAGAAAGTGTATGTGACATCATCTCTTTTTTGTAGGTTTCTTCAATGTGAAGCCAGGTTATATAGGTCTTAGGCGAGATGCAGGAAAAGAGAGCAGTTAAAAATGTGAAATGACAACTAGGAGACCAGTGGGTTGTTACTGCAGCCTCCTCTCCACCTGTAAGAAAACACCCTTAGCTAAATGCTCTAGCCAAGCCCACTTTCATTTGAGATAAAAATAAACCTCCCATTGCTTGTAGGAGAAATGCACTGCGGATCAGGTGATCAGGAACCAGCTCATGCAAGTTCATCTTTGCTCTTCTCTTGTCAATTACTTAACTGCCAAGTGAAGTTGAGCCTGAGGATACTTCCCAGGTTCAGCCACTTGTTACAAAAAACACATATTCGCTTACTGAGCAATATAAATAACACAATAAAATACACACTTTTTTCTTGGGGCTCAGCATCCAGCTGTGTTCTGAAGGAATATGTCCAATATCACCACATCTGGGGGAAGGTCTGGTAATAAATAGATTTATAGCCCATTTGTGAAGTGACAACGTACAAGCTCTAGAGTCAGGCAGCACGAGGTTCTTAATTCAACTCCGCCTCTCCCTGTTCCCGCTCCCCTCCCACTTAATAGCTGTGTTGAGTAAATTGTTAAACGTCATTGAACCTGATCATCTTCAGAAAAATGATACCCTGTGATGTTGCTCTGAGGATTAAATTAGATTGTATATGTCAAGTACCTGGTACATAGTTGACACTCAACTAATAATAATTAGTAATAGCTAATTTTGTTGCTCATATACTGTATGCCGAACATTGTTCTTCACCTCTAACATACATTAATTAATTGAACTCTCTTAAGAGGGTTAGCAATCCTGATATAGGTTTCACCATTATCCCCACTGTACAGAAGGGGAAACAAGCTCAGAGAGTTTAACTTGCAGGATATATAAAGTAACAGAGCTGAAAACCTAAACAATCTGGTTTCAATTATGCTACATAGTTGCTCTTGATATTATCTAGAGTCTGGGAGAAACCAGATGGGACCATCATATTTCTTTCACCTGCATAAGATCAAGTCACTTTGATTACATCACTGGACTACTCTCTTAGTCTAACATACTCCCCAGAGTCGGGACTTGGGGGTCTGTTCTCTACAGGGAGAATGGATAAATTAACACAGTTAAAGACAGCTAATTATGAACTATTTGTCAGTGCATTAGAACACATGGACTGACCAACTGAACTAGAATCACAATGTGGGGACTTTTATCTTAGGTCATACGTGGGAACCTTGCTGGGACTTAATTTTCTCTCCGTCTCTGCTTTTCCAACTCCACCTCCCTTCATCCCTCTTCCAGACAAGTCACAGTTCTCTCCTACCAGCCCCCACATTTCACTAATGTCTCAGTGTGTCTGCCTCAAAGTCTTCCCTTATCCTGTTTTCCCTTATAGAAATCACACACACAGCCTTGTGGATTTTCTTCACACCCCTCCCTCAGCACCCACCCCAACGATTTTGTTTCTGAAAGCCTTGCCTTCACATGTGCTCAGACAACCAGCTGGTACGCCTGATCCTGGTATATGAGGGTGAGAGGGAATGAATGATACCAAGTTGGAATTGAAAACCTAATTGGAAGGAGACTTTCCAACTGAGTTGGTATGAGAACTAAGAGTTTTACATTTTTATTTAGATCTATATTTCACATAACAGTCCATACATGCAAGTAACAAAATAAACAAAATATTGGTAAAAGCAGTACTCAAGTGCCACACAAATCTTAATGATTTCTGCCTGTTTGAAGTGGGAGAAGCGGATTTTTAAAAGTCAGTGATAAAGACCTAAATTATAAAACATACTGAGAAGAAAGTTCCCTGTTTGGGAGAAAGATTCCTCTCCACTCCCATCCTGAAGTCAGGGTAGGATCATAGAAGACAATCTGGAGAGCTCATAAGCTCAGGCCTTCCAGTCACAGCTGGCTTGTTAGGAAGGACCATTCAATCAACTTCCTCCAATGACAGGGTCTGTGCTGGGGGCTCCCGGGTGGGCTTGAGCTCCACAACTGCTACCCCCAGATACACCAGGCCCCCCATAGAGCCTGGAGAGGGTGGGGCAACAGATTTGCTCCAGCTCCCTCTTCTGATGCTCATACTCCTTCTCTGCTGACTGGTTGTGATCCAGCCAGGCAAGGACTTCCTGACACTTGTCTTGTACTTTGTGCCTGTCCTCTTCAGGAATCTCGTCCCTAAGGTTTTCCTCTTGCAAGGAACCCTTCACATGGAAGACAAAGGTCCCCAGGGAGTTTTTGGCAGCCACCCTGTCCCTCTGGGCTTCATCTTGGGCCTTGTACTGGTCTGCCTCATGAACCGTCCGCTCCGCCTCCTCCTTGCTCAGCCGGCCTGTGTCGTTGGTGATGGTGATATTGTTGGCCCTCCCTGTGCTCCTGTCAGTGGCTGTCACACTCAGGATGCCATTAGCATCAATGTCGAAGGTCACCTCAATCTGGGGGACTCCACGCGGGGCAGGAGGGATGCCACTGAGCTCAAAGCACCCCAGCAGGTTGTTGTCCCTGGTCATGGCCCTCTCGCCCTCGTACACCCGGATCAAGATCCCAGGCTGGTTGTCTGAGTAGGTGGTGAATGTCTGGGTCTGCTTGGTAGGGATAGTAGCATTCCTCTGGATCAGCGTGGTCATCACGCCACCTGCTGTCTCCAGTCCCAGGGACAGGGGAGCCACGTCCAGCAGCAAGAGATCCTGTACTTTTTCACACGTGTCCCCCATCAGCACTGCCGCCTGCACGGCAGCCCCATAGGCCACGGCTTCATCCGGGTTAATGCTCTTGTTCAGCTCCTTGCCATGGAAAAGGCCCTACAGCAGCTTCTGCACCTTGGGGATGCGGGTAGAACCGCCCATGAGGACAATGTCATGGATCTGCGCCTTGTCCAGCTTGGCATCCCGCAGGGCCTTGTCCACCGGCTCCAAGATGCTGCGGAAGAGGTCCGAGCACAGTTCCTCAAAGCGGGCTCGAGAGATGGACGTGTAGAAGTCCACACCCCCAAACAGGGAATCGATTTCCAGAGTGGCCTGGGTCCTGGAGGACAGAGTGCGCTTGGCGCGCCCACAGGCCGTGCGAAGCCTGAGCAGTGCCCGCTTGTTCTTGCCCACGTCCTTCCCGTGCTTCCGTCAGAACTCCGCCACGAAGTGGTTCACCAGCCGGTTGCCGAAATCCTCTCCACCCAGGTGAGTGTCTCCAGCCGTGGCTTTCACCTCAAAGACACCGGCGTCGATAGTGAGCACCGACACGTCGAAGGTGCCTCCACCCAGGTCGAAAATGAGCACGTTTCGCTCTCCGGCGCCCCGCCGGTCCAGCTCGTAGGCGATGGCGGCCGCCGTGGGCTCGTTGATGATCCGCATCACGTTGAGCCCCATGGCACCCGCGTCTTTGGTGGCCTGGCGCTGCGAATCGTTGAAGTAAGCGGGCACAGTGATCACAGCGTGCGTCACGGGCTGGCCCAGGTACGCCTCGGCCGTCTCCTTCATCTTGCTCAGCACCATGGTCGAGAGCTCCTCGGGGCAGAACGCCTTGTCCTCCCCGCGGTAGCACACGCGCACCTTGGGCCTGTCGCCCTCGCCTACCACCTGGAAGGGCCAGTGCCGCAGGTCCGCCTGCACCGTCGCGTCGGCGAACTTGAGCCCGATCAGCCGCTTGGCGTCAAACACGGTGTTGTGCGGGTTCAGGGCCGCCTGGCTCTTGGCGGCGTCGCCCACCAGGCGCTCGGTGTCGGTGAAGGCCACGTAGCTGGGCGTGGTGCGGTTGCCCTGGTCATTGGCGGGGATCTCCACGCGGCCACGCTGGAACACGCCCACGCACGAGTACGTGGTGCCCAGGTCGATGCCTACGGCCGCTCCCCGCGGGGCGGGCATGCCGTGGCGTCTCGCGCTCTCGGGGACGAGGATTCGGACGCACGGGCCGGCGGGGCTCGGCGCTGCTCGGGCCGTGGGTGGGCGCTCAGCAGGGCGGCCCTCCGGGCGGCGCGCTCCTGCAGCCCTGCTCGGTCGGCTCGCGCTGCTTCGCCGAGCTTTTTATGCATTTTATGCAGCCGTCGGGGACCCGCCTCCTCCCGCCCCCGCCGCCGCGAACCTTCCGGCGCCCTCGCGCGGAGCCCCGCGCCGCCCCGCCGCCCGCTCGGGCTGACTCAGCGGGCCGCGGCGGCCCCACCCGCCTCTGACTCAGCGCGGCGAGAAGGTTCCAGCCCCTCCGGGCTGGTGCTGGGGACGAGAAGTCAGTTAAGGCAGAAACTTCCGGGGAACCAACTCTCCCCTTGGTAGGTTGAATCCTGCGACTCGGGAAAAGTCGAAAACACGTTAACGTGCGAATAGAACCATGGCCTCAAAGCCGGGAGTTTAGTTATTATTTTTCTTTTTTAACTTTTGAAATATTAAAGCAATGTTTTCGAAATCGTGTCTCAGGCTGATTTTCCGCTAGCGACGGTGATTTTGTTAAAGGAATGCGCTGCAGAAAGCACATTACATCAACAGCATTGGTGGTTCAGTGGTAGAATTCTCGCCTGCCACGCGGGAGGCCCGGGTTCGATTCCCGGCCAATGCAGCAACTTGTTTTATTTCACACCGGTATTTCAAGTGTTTTGTATTCCAAAATGTATGCCCATGAAGTAGATGAAACCAGTCAGCAGAAGACTGGGGTCTCCTAGTTTGGTTGCTCCTCCTTTACCAAGTCAGTTTCCTCAGAGAAGCCAGAAGTTGGCTCGGTCCCGCAAGGACTCGGGCGACCTTGTCGCCCCGCCCTGCAGAGAACGAGCTGCTGGGAAGGAGCGAGCAGGTCAAGTGCGGTGGGAGCGGCCCTCCTGTTGTCGAGACCGGGCCCTGGCTCTCGGAACTCCGGGCTGCACTGTCCCCGGAGCCGGTTGGGAAGGCACAGCGCGTCTTCCTCTGAGGCCTGGGTGGCTCGCAACCGGAGCCCCGGGCCCAGGCGGGGAATGCGCTCCTGCAGGCGGCAGGCCGTCCGACCCGCTGGAGGCCGGAAGGCGGGGTGAGCTCCCTGCCCAGTAAAACCGCACTAGCTCCCGTCGCCAGCCGTGCGGCCTTGCGAACTGAGTCCGTGCCGTCTCACCTTCATTATAACAGAACATCCATCCCCTTGGAGTTTTCTGATGTTTCTACGTGGCGTGGAGATGCACTGAAAAGCCCAAAGGAGGAGACTCTTTGGAGACGCGAGGGTGGAAAGAAGCAAAATGTCCCGGGAAGCCCGCGGCAAAATGAAACCCTGGTCTAGGAGGGGCCGGCGGGCATGCCAACCACTACACTGAGGAGGACAGGATCAAACAGGACTGTGATACATTCCAATTTTACAGTTCACTTTCTTATTAAAGGAACCTTAAGTTGACTTTTCTGAAATAGATTCTTACTTGCCTGACTCAAAGGAAACCACTAATTTTTAAAGAAAAACTAAAAACCCCTGCCCCCAAAGTGACTCTTTTCTCTTCAAATGGCTCAGGACCCTTTGGAAAACTTGTGAGGCCTTCGAAGAGGGAGAAGGGAGATACACAGAGATCAATCCCACTTTTGCACTGGGTAGCTGGGAAAGTCCGCTGCTAGAGAGGTCGGCTACACTGGAAAGGTAATCAGTCTAGGAAGAAAGGGAGTGTTTGGAGAAGTGTGCCATGAATGACTTCCACAGAAGAAAATCAAGCCATCCTCAAAAGAATGAATCTGTTTCATAACTCCAGGAGGAAGACAAGCTTTAAATTCATTCACTCTCAGAATGAAACTGGATTATTGTTTAACCCCGTACACAAAAGTAAACTGGAAATGGATCAAAGACCTGAATGTAAGTCATGAAACCATAAAACTCTTAGAAGACAACATAGGCAAAAATCTCCTGAATATAATAAGCATGAGCAACTTCTTCCTGAATGCATTTCCTCGAGCAAGGGAAACAAAAGCAAAAATGAACTCATGGGACTACATCAAACTGAAAGGTTTCTGTATGGCAAAGGACACCATCAACATAACAAACAGGCATCCTACAGTAGGGGAGAATATATCTGTAAATGACATATCTGACAAGGGGTTAACATCCAAAATACATAAAGAACTTAGATGCCTAAACACCCAAAAAGCAAATAACCCAATTAACAAATGGGCAGAAGATATGAAGAGATTTCTTCCAAAGAAGAAATTCAGATGGCCAACAGGCACATGAAAAGATGCTCCACATCACTAATCATCAGAGAAATGCAAATTAAAACCCCAATGGGATATCACCTCACACCGGTAAGGATC